ACACCCTAACCAGACAATAATTAAATAGTGAGTAAGAATCACATGAATCTGGAAGTGAATTTGCAGATAAAGATGTTGCTATCCACCAAAACCAAACCTGCTTCAGAGAACATTCAACTGAAACTTTAGTTTTAACTGATTATCTGCAATGACAAATTATCTAGATGTAAACCTTAAAAATTACAAAGAAATACCACACACGATGCACACTTTTCTGAAAATTTGTGTTAATACCTAAACCTGATGATTAGATATTTGGAAAGAAATTTGTAAAAGGTTCAATTTAATGAACTTAAACTAAAGGATAAATCTCAAATGGCTGAAAAAAGGTCATAATTTGGAAAAATTATTTATCTAAATGTTTATTAAATAAAAAGACCAGTTGAAGACCTGAGCTGTATAAACTACTGGAGCAGTAGACAAATTCACTTCATTTAAAAACTAATTACGGTATAAATGTACGTAGTAACTTTTGGTCAAGAAGGCTATAAACACCACCTGCACCAACAGTGTTCTACAGTCTATTGCACAGTTTGTTAACTTAAAATATCGATGATTTGACTCTTGAATGCATGTACAAACACAAATCATACACTAAATAACCACACTTACCAATCATAAGTTGGACATATTGAAGATTTCCTTTAGTAAATTCTTGGACTGCATCAAGAGCCTCAGTTACAAGAGGAAAACTAATGCCAGCCATAGTTTGATGTTTACTGTCCACCCCAATGTCTACTCCAACCTCTTGCTTTTTTATTTCTTGAATTTCCTCCTCCTGTGATGGACAGTGACAGTGTATTGTTCAGGAATTTATGTCTACAGTACTACCTGTCTACCCTAACAATTTTGATAGAATAGCATACCCTACTACAAGTCTGAGAAAGGAGGAACTCATACACAGTACGGAAATTCTGGTTATGGAAATATCACCCGTAAGGACATTGTAAATCAATACCATTAAAATCAGGATACATATTGTAAATTCACCCTTACAAAATTTTACAATACTGTAGATAATTATAAAAAAAAAAAAAAAATAAGAAATTAAGAAATTCAAATCACATTTGTGTGCATCAAAGACGATGGTGGCAGGCTTTTTTTTTAAACCTAGGAGTGCGTCAGTTACGGACTGCCTCCACGTCTAGCTGTTGGACTTTCAAGATTTTTCTACACTCTGAAGTGCGTTTCCCCTGAAGATGTCTGCAAAAAGACCAGCAAGTTCAAGGTCAATTACTGTAGTACACCCAGATAATTTGCGGATTTTTATTTCGCGGTCCTCTATTACTCACGGATGATACCCTGGATGTACCCAAGAATATCTGCAGGTAGTTTTAAAGTTGCAGGCATTTTTGCAGCCAGGACAGGGATCCATTCGATTTAGAGACAGTACTTTCCTTTACCTGTATTGTATATACTGTATATGTTTGTGTGTGTGTGTGTGTGTGTGTGTAGACACACACACACACAAAACACATACAAATAAATAATGATGGAAAAATACTCTCACATATAATCAGAAACAAATTTCTTAAAAATGTGACACTCTACCTTCAAGTGTACTCTGTGCTTTATTAATAACAAAGCACGAAGTACACTTGAGGGTAGACTGTCACATTTGTGAGAGGATTTTTTCATTATTATTTATTTGTATGTTTTGTGTGTGTGTGTGTGTCTACACATACACATATATACAATAAAGGTAAAAGAAATAATTATCCTAAGGGCAAACACAAACGGAATATACAGTAAGTCCTCGCTTAACGTCGTCCAGCTTAACGTTGTTTCGGTACTATGTCGCTGAACTTTAGAGACCAAATATTCATTTAACAGTCCCGATGATCCGATACTACGTCGTTTTGCGTCGTCACGGACAACTTTCTATGGCGCATCAACCGCTCGTCTGGTTGCGCTACGCTCTCTCGGCTCGGCGCACTGCCCTCCCTCACGGAGCGTCACAGCGTCCCCAAGCGACGCCAAGCCAGTCTCTGTTACGACTTCACATCATTCGTGTGTGCTTAAGTGTTTTGCCCTAAAACTGTACTCGAACCATTCGAAATGGCTTCCAAGCGCCCATCAAGTGCTACTGATGCTAGTGTAGTGAAGAGGCATCATAAGATACGAAAATGTATGTATCAACCCACTTTGAAAAAGGGGAACGTGCTGTGGACATAGCCGCTGTGTTTGGTCTAACCCCCACAACGGTGCGTACTATCCGGACCAACGCTGACAAGATTAAGGTTAGTGTTGGAAGTGGTTCTTCTCCGAGTGCTACTAAGACGACTCGTAGTAGAAGCACTGTGATAGAGAAGGTGGAAATGATGCTGGTAATGTGGATGGAAGACCAGAATCAACGCAATGCCCCTGTGAGCCATATGGTTATCCAACATAAGGCCAGATCCTTGTTTGACGACTTAAAGGCAGAAGAGGGTGAAGGATCAAAGGAAGAGACCTTTACGGCCAGCCAAGGATGGTTTCAACGATTTAAGCGTCGTTATAACTTCCACAATATTAAGATGACTGGTGAGGTTGCCAGTTCAGATATGGTTGCTGCCAAGACATTCCCACCAGAATTCAAACAGATTATCCAGCAAGGAGGCTACTCACCAAAGCAAGTCTTCAATGTGGATGAGACTGGTCTCTTTTGGAAGATGGATGCCTGAGAGGACCTATAGCTCCAAGGAGAAGAAAAGAGCGCCAGGTTTAAAAACGGCAAAAGACCGCTTGACGCTGCTGCTTGGCACGAATGCTGCCGGTGACTTCAAGCTGAAGCCTTTACTGATTTTTTGCGCTGCCAACCCACGGGCCCTGAAAGGTTACTCTAAGGATCACCTTCCTGTCATTTACAAGGCAAACAAAAAGGCATGGATAACCGGCGCCATATTTAGCCAGTGGTTAAACGTGTACGACGTCCCTGCACTGAAGGAATACTGCACCAAGGAGAACCTAAACTTCAAAATTCTTCTGATCCTTGACAATGCTCCAGCTCATCCTCCCAATCTCGACGACTTGCATGACAGTGTAGAAGTTGTATTCCTGCCTCCCAACACGACAGCACTGATGCAGCCTATGGACCAAGGCATCATCGCCGCATTCAAGGCGTATTATTTACTCCGTACCATGGCCCAGCTGCTCAAGGCTACAGACGGAGAAAATAAAACAACGATCCGAGAAAATTGGCGCGGTTTCAACATTCTTCATGCAATTGACAACATTGGCAAGGCATGGGAAGAGGTTTTAGAAAGTTGCCTGAATGGTGTGAGGCATAAACTGTGGCCCGAGTGCGTTAACAGTTTTATGGGATTCACGGATTTAATCCCAGCTGTGAATAGGGATATCCTCAGCTTGGCTAGACAGGCAGGCTTTGATGAGCTGGAATCAGAGGATATTGAGGAAGTCCTGGCATCCCATACAGAAGAGCTCACCAAAGAAGATCTGCAACAATTAACAGAACACAGTCCCATTGAAAACGACTCAGATGACGACTCAGACGAACCTCAATGAACGCTAACTTCAAAGAGGTTGGCAGAATCGTTGAACAAGTTCCAGTAAGCAATGCAAATGCTTCTAGATGATGACCCAAACAGAGAATGTAGCTCAAAGGTTCAACGCAGCTACACTAGATCTATAAGAGGATGAGTAGCACCATGAAGTCAACACTGGATTAATTTTTTTGTCGCGGGACGGCAGAAGGAGCTTCTTCACAACAGCCGGTATCCGAGGAGGAGCAAGCAGTGGCGGAGGAACCCAAATCAGAGCAGGAAGAGGAGGAGGCAGCAGCGGAGTTTCAGTGACACTACCATCTTCCTCTCCCGCCCTCCTCAGCTCACACCTTCCTCCTCCTTCGCTCAACTGCACACTCGCTCTACCACCTCCGCCCATCAGTGAGTACCAATAGAAACTTAATACAGTACTGTAGTTCTATATACTATTCTCCATACAAATGGCAATGATTTTCTGTAGATGTAACTTTTTTTGTGGGGCAAAGGGAGGCTCAGGAACGTAACTCCCATATTTTATCTATTTCTTATGGGGAAAATTGATTCGCTTAACGTTGTTTTGCATAACGTCGCAATTCTGGAACGTAACCCTGACGTTAAGCGAGGAAGCCCAGCACATTTCTTTGTACACAAGTAAAAATGTACCCCCCACCCCCCTGGTCAGCAAATGTTATTTGCGGCTTTGACGATTTGCGGCCATTTTGAGAACCTAACCCCCGTGATTTTGAAGGGCATGCTGTACTACACCTAAATGGACAGGTAAAGGAATTACACTGGGTGCAAAACTCAATGTTTTACAGAAGTTTGATGCTGGAGAAAAACTTAGCACCATCGCTAAAACTTATGTATTTTTATGTATTTACTGTACTATTATTTGTGGTACCGTAAGTAAAATTAGAAAATGCAAAACTATAATCAATATGTATTATGAAATGTATATTTCCATTTATAAGTGTGTAAAAGGGAAAAATGGTTCGCGTTAAGATAAATTCTGATACGGCCACTTTTTCAAGAACACAACCATTCTGTAACGTGGGGTTCCATGGTATTCCCTTTCTTATACTCAACAAGAATGGTGAATTTGATAAGGTTTTGGAATTACCTGAAGATTAGCCCCTAGCTTCTTTCACCTGATGATTAGAAGCCCTAATGCAACTTGGAGGTTAGGTTAGATTTGGTTAGGCTAGGTTAGCATTAGGATGGTTGATCTTAAGGTGAAAAAGCCGGGGTTAACCTTCAGGTAATCCAAATTTTGTTTACTTTAATGCTTAGTTTAAAATTTACATACTTGTTTTGTAATGTTTTCCTACTTTACCTATTATCTCAGTAAGGTATTGAGCACTGTGCCAAATTGTATATAAGAAGGGAATACTGTACAGTTGAGAGATACAGAAACTTCAAAATGGAAAATAATTAAATCATATATTTGGGGGAATCACATTGAAAGTAAAGTACCACTTCTTACTGCTTATGTGTGTGTGTGTATGTGTGTGTGTGTGTGTCTGTGTTTTCATTTTGTGGGAATTTTTTTTAATGTGTTCATTCTTACAAATGTACGATGTGCAGTTACGACTACTGTTCTTATGGCGAGACTTTATTTACTTTGTCCACTTCAGTATAATCATATTTATAAATATTTCAGAACAGTAAGGTTGTACACACTTACCCTTAAGGTGAGTGGAACTGGGGCACTTGCAGACTTGCGATGACGATGTAAACCATCCAAACTTACATCTTCCTGCAATAAACAAATCCTTATATTGAATACTGTACTTTATAATGATGTGGAAATTTCATAGTATCTTGAGCAAGAGTACTAAGGTACATTATACACCTGCTGCCTTATTTGACTTTAACTTTCAGCTGAGACTTGAATTTGGCATTCTGCACTTAATTTAATGATGATAAACATGTAAATGAAGTTTCAGTATAATATTTTATCAAAATGCAGTATGTTAAAATTAACAATAACCTGTACACAATATGTAAACTTTCTATCTTTCAATTTTCACATGAAAATCATGTGAAAATATAAAATATAAAAGAATTCTGCCTAAAATAGAAAGTGAATCATTTGTATACAGTATTATAAATTAATGATCATCCTCACATGTACTGTGCCAAATATCTCATCCCTGATCTGTGTTGCTCCAAACTCCTTTCTGAGTGTGGCCTTTGTGGAGGCATACAGCATCTTCTCCCGTACTGGTGAGTCATCTGGAGACCAACTAATAAGTACCCACTCATACCCTCCATGAGCTTCACTATCTAACCTGCAAACATATTTAAATGCTATAAATATTATCTTTGTTGTGAAATGCTACACTCTTCAGTTTATGTTGGATTTGCATGAATTTTGTCAATAAAAATCATAACTTCCTCACCTTTCTGTTACATTAAACAAGAAATTATCTAAGCTTATATTATAGTAGGGTCTACACTATAAGTCTACTTTAATCATGTAGGACTTGCACCAATGCCTACACTGTAGTCTGTCTCTATACAGTATCTGATGCTGTATTCCCTTTAGGATATCAGAATGGTCACATTGAGTTTCAAACTTAAACAAATAAGGACAGGGTGTAAGAACTAAGGACTGAGGCAGAGAAGCAACGGTTATAAAAACAAACAAATGTAAGCTCTGATATGATGTATTTCTTGTACAGTATATATACAGTACAGTACTGTATACAGTACAGTAAAGCCTCCCATAACGACGGCTCGACCAACGACAATTCATATTTAAGACCCTGGTTAATTTAGGACCCAATTCAATTTACATCATTATTTTATTCGTATTTACGACGAAAATATAATAAAAATAAAATAAAATAATATTTTCATATAAATAATAACTAAATCCCGATATATATTACAAAAAAAAATGATACTGTAAAAAAAGAAAAAAAAGGAGAACGCCTTGCGCAAAGAAGCTGCTGGGCTAATTCGTGGTAATGTGCATCACCAGTAAACAAGAGTTAGAGCTTGGCGGTCCCTTTGTTTTCATGCATCTGAACAGGAACAGGAGAAAAACTGTCTCAGGTTTCTTATGGCACTTTTGAGTCCCTATTCAACATAAGCAAGAGAGCAAGTGATGGTAGTGCTGGTTCAAAAGCTAAAAGAAAATGTATAAGCTTAGCCAAGAAACTATAGATGGGTTAAAACGATATGAAAATGGTGAGAGGTATGTGGATATTATATGGAGCAACCAATGAACATAATATTATTTTCTGAAAAGGAACCATTAACAGAAAGAAGCATTAAAATTAACAGGGACGTGAAAAACACATATGACCTCTACATAAAGATGTATAATGAGAAAAGAAAGCGGCTGTGAAAGGTTCTTTCGACAGCTTTATTGTTCAAAGGCCTAAACCACCAACTTCAGCTTCAGCAACAGCTTCAGCAACAGCTATGATATCTTTATGGAAAGCTTCAGCTTGAGTTGAACCTGATTGACGAAATCATCTGAGTAAAATAGCACAATATTTATTGGCTGTCCTTATGTTTTAAACTTTACCGCCATTTGTGAGTAGAATTTTTGTTTTACATTAGTAAGTATTATTTAAAACATATATGAACAGTAATAAGTGTTGCTTTCATATTCTTATGTCCTAGAGAAATGACGATGTTTTCACATATACGCACTTACACACGATGGCGTTCCCAATCTATTTTGTATTTTTCTTTACCATTAATGGTTAGCTACTTCTATTGTTCCATTTATTAACATTAAACAACATTACTTAATACATACATGTTAATCTTTTCACATTAATCTTATTACAGCAACAACCAGGGTCTTATTTCTTCAGTTTCTTATGTAGAAGTAGAACCATCGTCATTCGTCACGAGTGTTGGAAACATGAACGAAAACAATGCCCTCTCCTCTCCTCTTGTGTGTTTTAATATTCTACGTATTATTAATGAATTGCATTGTTCATTTCGAATATATATACTGTACATGCATTCGATCAAATACATATTCAGAAATAAACAAAAATGAATCTTTTGTACATGTACAGTATTCTTAAGATAAATGACGCGGTTTCCTTGAGGGCACAAGTACCAGGGTATACATTGCCGTTCCACTATCACTCTCTTTTTTTTCCTTTAACATCAATGGTTGCTTTTACTGTACATTAAATAACATGAACTAAAACATACATACTGTATTTTTTTACATTAATTTTACTTTAGCAACAACCGGTGTCTTATTTTCTTGTTTCAGATGGATAACTGACATTATGGGTGTAAACACGACAACAACAATAGCGTCCCATCTCCTCTTGTGTGATATTATTATTATTCATTTATATTGTATAAGGTGAATTCAGAAACATTATTTAAAGAATATAGTTTGCACTTTTCATTAATTGTATTGTTTTGAGGGGAAAGGAGGGTAAAAAGCCACACAAAAGTTATGAAAAGGTCACACTTTGGAATGCATCTCATTATTATTGCTTTATTTTAATGGTAATTAATGATTCATGATACGATGATTCACCATACACTGCAATATTGGAGGACACATTACCGTTGTTATTCGAGGCTTTACTGTATGTTGAAAATATAATCACCAGCTCATCCTGGGCTCATACTGCACTATACAGTATACTGTACTGTACATACTATTTATGAGTAACAGATGCACCTTTGGAACAATAGAAAATTTTAACATTCTGAAATCAAACATAGCCACTCAGATAATGTCATGTCAACGAACACCTATAATGGATTACCATGTTCCAAATACACAAAATAAAGATTGAGGCTTTATATTATAAAGAATGAATGAACAATGAGTCATCCTAAAAATCCATTAATGCAAAACAATTATATGATCTAACCTGAAGAGGAGATAGCATGGCTGCTTCTCTTTAAGCAGTGGTAGTACTAAGGGGTCATAATCATCCTCCCAAGACCCGTGAGCTGGATGCCATTCCCCCAGCTGCAGGGCCTCTGTGGATCAAAATATTATATTAGGATTTATTGTAACGTATCTGTGGAAAAATGCACAGCTTTATAAAACAACAATAATGGAAAATGGAGGGAACAAAACAAACTACCATACATTAAAAATACAGTACTGTTTTACTATAGTAAACTTTTTAACTAAAAGTAAAAAACAGTTACAGCACTGTAATATGTGATTAAAAAGTTTCCCATTCCACTTTTCTCATTACTGTGTTGAGGTATAAGCACATTCTTATTTCCTATTACAGTACAAGCAAAGGCAACCACTTCACACACAAGTAATAACTTAAGAAGCAAGCTTCATTATTCAGTAAAAGTCTCAATATTACTACTGAATACTGGACACTTGAAGGTAAGGGGATGGCTGGCATCAGAATGTTTAGACAAGATTTTTCTTTTGCATCCCTGATATATTTAGCAGGAGTACACTTGATACATTGTAAAGGTATAATGAAATAGTTCATAAGTAAAATCTTACTTCAAATAGCATATAAACTGTAAAGATTTGCTGATTGGTAGAGATTTTTTTTTATCTATATAGTAAGAATTTTTTGATACAGAATTTAAATTATCACTAGCAGTGGGTTATAAGAAAACATGACAATTCCATAAACTAATTTAAAAAGAGTTATTTCAAAAATAAAAAAGAATGTGTATATCTCATAAGTAAACAAATAACTCTAAAAGACTCCGTCACTAGTCATTAAATATCTTAAAGGTTGTTGATACAGGTAAGGACAGATATAAAAACAGTTAAGGTTAAGGCAAAGTGTCCAGTACGTGCAAACAGCAAGGTGTGAACACTTGATAGCAGAAACACTAATGTAATGGATAAAGGATTACTGCAAGCAATGTATGAATTCGAGCCCTTCCACCCAGCTGAATTCATGATAATTATGTGAATTGAGTGACTGTCTCAAGTAACTGTTGGGCTAATCACATTAGTTAATTACTTTACAACTTGTTCGTTCAAACCTGCTCTGATCACATTGAACAACCTTCTTTAATTTATACGTAGTTATCTTATACAACCAAACAGTGCTAATCTAAAAAAAAATGTATGGCAAAAGCAAGAACTGTAATAGCCAAGTGACTGGAAAGTTTTAAAAAGTCAACTCATCTTCTAGGTATGTCCACAGAACTACCAGTTCACAGTGTGACTCACAGTATGGAAGTGTGGGATGAAGTTGTTTGTCCTGTGTGGTAGGAGAAAGTTTAAGTGAACAAATTATAGACCTGTTCACCTGATTAGCCTTACCAGTACATGAAGCAACCATTGTAATCACACAAATTCAAATGGGAAGGGTGCACTGCATTTATCACTTGCAGCAATACATTTACATCCTCTGTTAGGACATGTTTCTGATGTCAAATATTACATTTGTTAGCAAGCAGGCTGTGCCTATGAGGTACCTACCTTTGGTAAGTCTTACAGGTCTTTTGCAAGGATTCAATTGCTTCCCAAAACAGAAATTCTCCAAATGAAATAGATCTATTATTATAAAATACCAGCATATGCCTTCATCATGGTTTTCTTGCTCAGTAATCATGGTGAATGGTGTTCTGAAAATATCTTGCTACAAGTGATGTAGGAACATGAGCTCATGAAACTAATTCATCTCTGTCCAAAGCTTTTAAATATCTTTCAGTCATATAAATTTGCCCAAGTGATCCAATACAGTCATTAATAAATAATCTAACAATGTGGTGAGGTTAAGATCACAATAAAATAAAAAGCTTTGTGTGTAAGAAACACCGAGAGACAGAAATTGGAGTTTAATGAAGAAAAATAGTTCAGTTCCAGGACACCCTTGCTATAATTGCTGGGGAAGTAAAACCGGTACGGGAATGTTTCAAGTGATATCCCTGTTAGCCGGAATAATTGGTGCAGAGCAGTTTCAGGTAAGGAGATGAAATTTTTCATCCCGGAAAAATTCGCACATCCGTGGAGTTTTTCCGAGTACTGTACTGTCATCTCGGTTATCCAAGTAGACTGAGGGCCTTAGGAATAACACTCTTCAGAAATGGCACAATAGGGCAGATCTCATTGAAAGATTCAAAATCTCAAAAAGGATGAAAAATGTGAACAAAGGATACAGGTTGTACCTCTCTAGTCCGGCATTCTGTGGTCCGGAACTCCCGTGGTCCGGAACGATTTTAGTTTGTCCAATAGGTAGATAGGCAGCTCTTTTTTTTTTTTTTTTTATGTGAATTATTATTACAGGAGTATTAAATTTTTGCCCCTCGGGCCCCAATGTGGGTCAGTGACCTATGCCCGGGTGGGCTAATCCCCTTAAAAAACAAAAACAAAAAACAAAGCCGCGGGAAATTAAGGTTTGTTTACATCCGGCAGTTCGGCTGCTCTCTCTCTCTCTCTCTGCTTGTCTATACAGAGTACAACATTTAACCCCCTTCAATATATATGAGCAGTAAATAAGTGTTGCTTTCATATTCTTATGTAGAGTAATGACGATATGTTTTCACATGTGCGCACTTACATACGCGCAGTCTCACTTTTTTTTTACCATTAATGGTTAGCTACTTATATTGTTCCATTTATTAACATTAAATAACATTACAGGTACTTCAAACAACCATATTAATTTTTTTACATTAATTTTACTACAGCTAAAATCAGGGTCTTATTTTCTTCAGTTTTATATGTAGAACCAATCAGTCGCTGGTTTCGTAAGCTTTAACATAAACAATGCCGGCAGCCGTCTCGTCTCCTCTAATATTCCACGTATTATTAATAAATTGTATTGTTAATTTTGCACACGCACACATTAATTCAATAAAAACAAATTCAGAAACATTAATTAAAATATATATGAACAGTAAATAAGTGTTGCTTTCATATTCTTATGTAAAGTAATGACGATATGTTTTCACGTGTGCGCATGCGCACTTACATACGCGATCTCTCTTTTTTCTTTACCATTATCGTTAGCTACTTCTATTGTTCCATTTATTAACATTAAATAACATTACTTAAAACAACCATATTAATTTTACTACAGCTACAACCAAGGTCTTATTTTCTTCAGTTTTATATGTAGAACCAGTCAGTCACTGGCTTTGTAATCAACGAAAACAATGCTGTGTCATTTCCTCGTGTGTTTTAATATTCTACGTATTATTAATGAATTGTATTGCTCATTTTGCACACATAAACATTAATTCAATAAAAAAGACATTCAGTAATAAACAATAATGAATCTTTTGTACATAAGAGAAATGACGCTGTTTACACGATTATGCACGTCGTCTGCACGTTGGCGGGCCGTTCAAACCCGTCGAAATTCAAGTTTCCGCCGTCAAAATTTTTATTTATTTATTTTTTTGTGTGTTCCAATAAAATACGTTAAGAATTAAAAACTCGCGAAATTTGAGAAGCTACTATACGACATTTAACCCTTCAATATGTCTTCAAAGAGACCATGATGCAGAGAAAGTGATGCTAGTGCTTCCAAGCATAAGCACAAGTCACTATCTATCCAGGAAAAGGGTGAATTTCCATGGTCCGGCACCGGTCAGGTCCCGAGGTTGCCGGACTAGAGAGGTACAACCTGTATTTCCTCGTGATGTCACACACCACCAACACGAGAAGACATAATGACGTTAATGTGTCCTCCAACATTGCAGTGTAAGGTGAATCGTCGTACCGCGAATCATTAATTACCATTAAAATAAAGCAATTATAATGAGATGCATTCCCAAGTGTGACCTTTTCATATCTTTTGTGTGGCTTTTTACCCTCTTTTCTTGCTAGCCCGGGCAGCTAGCGAGCCAACCTTTTGGTGAAGAGGATAAAACTAACAATAACACAATGCAGGTGACTACTTTCAATAATACAGTACAGTACAGTAGGGTCGGGACATATTGCAACTTTTTATAATGATCTTCCTATATCACGACTACCATAATTATAGAAATTATCCAATATAGCGATAAATCGATAAATTTATTTATTTTGTGAGGGAAATCAGGCAGGAAATATTTCAAATGCACCGCCATGGCAAACAAACGTGCTATTTGCTCACCAGAGGCGCCACCGTGGCTGCTCACTCACGCATTCACGCTCGCCTGCTCAGTCTTTCTGAGTGAGTGACAAGTAAGCAGCCGACTCTGCTGCAGATTACGACTTCTAAGGCGAGTGTAAATGGGTTGATGTGAAAAGTGAAGTGAAGAAAATGGAAAGCTTAATTGAAAAGATTTAATACTGTAACTAATATTTTTGGTTTGTTCATTAATGTAGGTGTGGCAGTGTGGCATCTGCTGCCGAGTCTGGTGTTCCCGGGATGGTGCGTCAGATGCAGAGTCTGGTGTGCCTTGATATTAAAACAGCCTGTTGTTCCCAAGTCTAGTGTTCATTGGTGCTTTAGGTAGTGAGGAAGTAAACTCGTTAAGTCAAGTTTAGTCTCTTTTATTGGCCTCCAGAACCTAACCCAATTTTCCCCATTGATTACATGTACAGTGGGGTATGCTATAATGAACGGATCCTACTACGAATATTCCTATAACGAACGTTTTTACCTATAAAATTGAGAATGCTATAACGAACGCAACTCCTACAACGAACGCGGATGAATACGGGACTATTTCACCTGGGGCATGAATATTGTTGTACCGCGACCCACAACAAGAGTGTCAGGCGCCATCTTTGTCTCATTGTGTAGCCAGTGCACCACTGTTATTGTTGAAATTTCGTCTTTTGATGTGGAAATAGAGTTATTTGAATAAATATTTTGTTATACAAGTGTACAATTGTAACAATGAATCGTCCAAAGCGAGTGAGAAAACTCATAACTCTTGAAACTAAGAAAGAAATCATAAAGAAACGTGAGGATGGAACAAGCATTGCGAAACTTAGTGATGAGTATGGGATGGCTAAATCGACTATATGTACGATTTTGAAGAATAAAGAGGAGTTGAAAACTGTGTAAGTGGCTAAGGGAATCTCTAGACTTAGCAAAGCAAGGTGT